CACGTGGCATTATCTTGAAAACCCCCTCTGCTGACACGTCAATGTCATTGTACCCGTCCCTCTCTTTTGAGCATATATGAAATTAAAAAAAAAATTGGGAGGAATCCAAGATGATGCGATGGAGATATTGCAGTCTTTGCTTTTCTTTTTTTCGTTAACTTTTCTTTGTTTGTTTCCGTGAGCTAACATTTCTGTTTTGGTTTCTCTTCCTTCTTTTATTGCAATCCTCGAATTGTCTTCCTCAAGCCCAAACTAAATCCTCCTTTTCTTTTAGGTCAAATTATAGCGTTAGTCCCTGTATTCTTTTAAATTTTGAAATTTAATTTTTTTCCGATAATTCATCTAAAATTAATCATTTAATCTTTGTACTACTTAGATTTATAAATTTTAATTTAAACACTAATTTTATTCAATTTTTTTAATTTATTGACATGACAATTGATCATTTGGCATAGACGTTGACATGTCGATTGGCTTAATTTTAAGGTAACTGATGTAGTAGATTAAAATCACTCTGACATACACTTTAATCCACTTCGGCAACACATGTTACAAATCCCTTTTTTATTATTATTTTTTAAATTAATATCACAATTTTAATTCATATAAGTAACCTTTAAAAATTCAATCGACCAAAATGTTATGTCATGTTGGTGAATGATCATACTCAACAAATTTAAAGAAAAATTAAATGAAATTAACGTTTGGATTAAAATTAATAAATCAAAATATTATAAGTATTAACTTTAATAAATCACAGAAAAATAATTTTAAAATTTGAAGTAGTACAAAAATTAGGGGCATAATTTAACCTTTCTTTTAATTTTTTATTCTCCCTCTCTCTTACATTCTTGCGCCTTGGCCCCTACTTCCCATCCCATTCCATTATTGTTATTTATAGTTGAAATAAATTAGGTTTTGGTTAATTTGTTCTTTGAATTTAAAGGTTAGATTTTGTCATCTGAGTTTATTTCTTTATCTCAATTAATAGATAATGAATAAAAATTACTTATAAAAAAATATGAATTTAAAATTGTCAAAAAAAGATATTAAATCTAAATAAAATCTAAAACATTAAAAATCATCATTTGGTTATAAACCATGGTTAAATTTGCTGTTTTTACTAAACTTTTACCCCCCCCCCTTAGAATTTGGCGTAGGAAAATAATGGAAGTTAGAAAATGAAATACGAGAAAAAAAAAAAAGTTGACCTTTGGGACCGTTTAAAGTTGGATGTATTGTCAAAGTGGCAAAAAACCCAACAAAAATTGTACCAAAAAATTGTGGGCAAATTCAAACAAATCACCAGAGAAACAGCACATAAAGTATAGCTTTGTAAAGAAGAAGAGAATAATTGTTTCTGCCTCAACTTGTCTCCCCTAGTTTCAACCATGACAAGGAAGATGCTTCAGGACCATTCATGCGTGCACCTACCAAGCCATCGTTTTCTTTCCCATCCTTTCTTCTTTTTTTTTTTTTTTCCATCTTTCTTCCATAATGTTCCCTTTATTATTTCATTTCCTTTCCTTTCTTTCTATTTTTCCATTCGAATGATTAAACATAAAAATTATTGGCGTCAAACACTGTATAGTCTTTATTTTGATGTGAAAGCATTGAAATTTCGCAGGCAACTAGCCAATCAAACTCAGCTCCACAGACAATGAATTTTTTTTTTTCTCTTTGATATTTTTAATTTCACCTGAGGCCCCATTTGGATATGATGTTTCAACTTGCCATAAGGAGAAGATCTTTCTATATTTACAAATCACAAACCATATCCAAAAATTTTTTAAAATGTTCATAACTGCAGTTATTTTAATAAAAAAATATATAATTAATATATTGTTTTCTCTTAAATGTAATAAAATAATATATGATATGTAAAAAAAAAAAGGTTAAATTTTATTGTAATTACCTTTAATTAGTATTTACAAACACCCAACAGAAAAAGAAGATCCGGCCAGATAACTTCCAGCTAAGAGTGTCAGCTTGATCAGTTGAATTAAAGTCTAAACATTCTCAACATTTTTATCTCAATTCTAGTCGATCTTTCAATGAACTAAAAGTTTAGTACTCGATTGAAAATATATGGTTGAAGATCAAACCAAAAGAAAAAATTTCAATGTTGCATAAATGAAAATTTGTTCAGAGTTTGGCAGGAACACCTACAGCATTTAGTTGGAGTAGTGAATCAAACAACAACTACAATGGTGGCAAATAATAAATGCAAAAACGCGTAAAGAAAAGTTAGTAAATTTAGTTCAGAACAGCCCATTTGTCTCCATCCATTTACATACGAACACTACAGATTTAATATCAAAGAAGCTTCTATGTCTATTTTTGGGGTCTTAAGTGATGCAACAAAACATATATGTATACATATTTATAGATTAGGTTTTAATTTGTTTTGCTTTTTTTTTAAAAAACAAAGCATAGATGAATTAAAAAAAAAAAAGAGTCACTTTCAAATTTTTTTTTAGTTACATGTAATTAGTCATTTATTAAATTTTATTATTTTAATAAAATTTTAAAATTAATTAAAATTTATTAAAAAAATAATTTTAAGGTCTGTAAAATAGTTTGAGTCTGAAAGTTAATTACGTATGAAAAATGATTAACATTCTTATAGTATCTGTTTAAAATAATATCAATTAATTACGTATTATCTATTGATTTTGATAAAAATAATTTTATTTTCGATGTTTAAAAAAGTAATTTTTTAATTTTTCTTATTTATTGAAATTTTATTTTTTAAATATCTTTTATTATTTATTGTTCTATTTTTATTAAAAAAAATAAATTAAAACATTTTTTACTTAAATAATTATTAAAATATTTCAATATGTTAGTAATATTATAAGAATTATTTCTCACATTAAAATTTTTTATGTATTATTTGTTAAAATACTTTAAAATCTTATTATCGGATACTTGAATTTATTTTTTATAAAAATTATATTATGTAGGTAACACAAAAATTAATATATTAATACACGTATTTTAATTTCTTCTTTAAAAATTTTATTGATTTTTTGATTTTTTTTTTAATTTTTAAAGAAAATAAAAATTTTTATTATGTTTAAGATTTTTTATAAATATTTTAATATATTGATAATATTAAAAAAAAAATTTACTTAAAGATTTTTTATTTTTTTAGCCTTTTGGATATGTTATATATCACATCAACGTCAATGTTGTTAGGCTTCAACAATTAATGGAAATTAAATGATGTTTCATTTTGGGTTTCAAGAGTAGCTCATCGTGGGACCTTTGCGTGTTAAATGCAAGCTAGAAACTTTGAAATCTTCGACTCAAGATTTGTTTCACTTTCACATATGGGATTGAACAAACTCAATTCAGTGTTTTTTTCTTTGGATGATTGAATATAAACATGTCCTTTGTAAGGCTTTTCTTATATATATATATATATATATATATATGTATATATCACTATTTTATATGGAGTATATATTTTCTACAATCAACTTGATTAAGCTTTTGAATTTTTTAATTATCTAAAAAAATTTAAGTATAATTAGAGAAATCAAGATCTCATACGAGGAACAACTAAACTAATTATTAATCTTGCGAACATGTTTGTGGGGTTCTTCTTTACAATAATGGCAATTTCAACTTTGACATTAAGACAGGATGGTGTTGATACAAATTCAGTTTGTTTACCTAACGATTATTGGAAGTGAAACAAGACACCGGCAATAGTTGTATCTACACTTCACAAAAGCTGCTAACTATAACCCTGACAAATTATTAAACCATAAAATTTGATATTCCAGTCCAAGCAGAAGCAATTGGATGAATCATTCAACCGAACACCCCTTAATTCATATAAAAGTTATAGGTTGAGGAAATTATTGATAATTGAATGTTTCTAAGGCAACGAATCTCATAGACAACACAGCTTTAACGACATTATTGCAACAAAATCAACTCTTTGCTGTTTATATTTACGTCTACCTATGATTATCAGATCAAACTGGTCTGTCTGTCTGTCTCTTCTCTTCCATGAGAAGTGAATTAATGAACAAGATTTAATGAAACAATAAACGAGAAAGAACAGTACACTTAATCTCACTGGCAAAATTTCAAAATGCCTGAATCTTCAATTAGTCAAAAGCATTATCAAACGTTATTACTAAGCTGCAAACTTGCTCATTCAAAGTGTTATTATAAATTTCACCCAACATGTTTGGCTCGATGCTGCAGTCACTTAAAGTCGTCCTGAATAAAAATCACAAGGAGGCTGTCTTAATGACTGTTATTTATTGCATTTACCTAAAGAGAGCAGGTTATTTATTGTAAGCTAGTATCATCTCTTGCCTCTTAGTTGAAACATAGCTTTATTTTTTTTTCTAACTTCACCGATTTGGGTCAGTTATCGCCCAGGGAGAACAGTCTCAGCTTGTTGGAACATGTATCTTTTTCCAGCTTTCCATGTTATACCTGTATAGATTTAATTGCAGGTAGTAAATAGAGTTCACAGTAAAAATAAAAAAAAAAATAAATAAAAGTGCCTTGCTTTGGAATAAAGATGTTAATATACACTGATGTACGAAAAAATCGTAAATTAAACCTCTTCAAGTTAGATGTTTTTGTAATTGAGTTGTAATGATATTGATTCACTTACTGTTTGAATTCAAGTATGTCTTAAATTTCCATGAAAGAGATTGTTAGAAATTTGTAGAAATTTAGGAGATGTCAAGAGAGTATGAACAGGAAAAGAAGGGGGTGAGTGAGAGTCGAGACAACAGAATAGTGTAGAATTTTTTTGTGCGACTGCAAGTGGCAATGCATCTTTGTACATTACTTCATGCAGCCCATCACTCCTTGGCCCTTTTAACTTTAAGATGAGAGAGAAAAAAGGAACCGGCTAGCGGACTTTGCAATGCAATGCAATTATATTCTCCTTTGCCTCTGTTACTCTCTCTCTCTCTTCTCTCTCAATAATTTTATTTTATTTTTCTTTATCATCAAATCTTTAAAAGAGAAATGGTCTGGTTTGAGCTTGAGCTAAATCTTAAGCCATAATTAACCAAACAGTTAGAATGAGCCTCTTTGCACTCTCTCAAGCTCCTGTCTTTAGTACTAGTAATAACCCAATGCTTCATTTCTTGAGTCTAGAGTTTTTGTAGGGCGGGTGTGTTTTTCTATATGGATTTTGGGGTAGTGGGTTTGGAAGGGTTTGAGGGTTCAGAAACTACTACTACCACTGGTTTTACTTCTCTTGCTTCAGATCCTGAGACAAAGCAGAAGTGGTACGGATCTGGGTTCCTCAAGCAAGAGAGATCTGGCAATAATGAAGATGACTGGAGGAGTTCAAAGCTGGCCAAAATTGATGATTTTTCAGCCTCCAAGGCAATGCTGCTCCAGCGGAGAAACACTTTATTGAGATCTAATACCTCTATCTTCTCTGACGGACAACAACAGCAACAAATGCTGAGCTTTTCTGCTCCCAAATCAGAAGCTCTTTCAGTGGATAGGAGCTCCCAAAATGTCACATTCCCTTACTTTCACCTCACATCACCTGCTTATACTAGAAATACAGGTATATATATATATTATATGGAGGCAATGTTAAAGGTTCTAACATTGTTACCTATTCACCATCATCTAAGGAAATCATGAAAGAAGTAAAATGGCTGTGGCCTGTTGGTTAATGCATGCTTGTGAGTTGTAGCATAGATGCCACATGTTTTGTTATTGGTTCTCTGGTTTGATTCCATGATTCCGGTGAAGGGTCTTTTCATGGAAATCTATGAGTGGTCTTTGTTTTAAGTCTTGTCAATGAAAAATCATCTTCCTGTTTTAGGAGAGAAATATTTTTGGTAATAAACGAAACAGTGATCGTGGGGAACAAAAGAAGAAAAATATGCACAGGAAGAAAGAATAGTAGTGAAGAGTGAGAGCACCGAAAGTTCCAACCTTTGATTGTTTTTGGGTATCCTTGTATTTTTTTCTTTTGTTACCTCTACCTTTTCCCCATCTTCCTTTTATGTTCTGTTTTCTTGTTCTATCAAAGACAACAAATCCATGACTCTTATAGTCTCCTCAAATGCTGCAGACAAGTTATGATATCTGGGTTATCTGCCACCTCTTTCTATTCCCCCCTTTCCCCTTTTACTCTAGAGTAAAAACTACGAACCTTTTTATTTCTACTATACTGCTTTGAAAGCCTTAAAATTTTGGCTTTTCTGCTTTCATATTTATTTGTTTCTTTCAATCTTTTTTCTTGAACTTCATTTGTTTTTCTTGGTTTTATGTTTCAGCATACAACAGTGGAGGACTTAATGATGCAAACGTGCATGGGTTGTTAGCAGGAGCTAGAGGACCATTCACTCCATCTCAATGGATGGAGCTGGAACACCAGGCTTTGATCTACCAATACATAACTGCAAATGTTCCTATACCATCTAATCTTCTCATTCCTATAAGAAAAACCCTTGATTCTGCAGATTTCCCAAGCTTTTCTGGTGGAATCCTTAGACCCAATACATGTAAGTTCCTTTTGTCTCTTCTTAGAGAAACAAGAAAAGCAAACTTTTTCCTCTAAAATGTCCATATAATTTCCATGGTTGATGCAAAAGTTGAAGCAAAAGAATTCTCTCACTCAGTGTGTGCGTGTATAAGATTTGGGAATGGCAAAGGGGGGCGGGGGACACAAATTAGTGCTGGCACTTACTTTCATTCTTCTGCTGAGTACTGATACTGAGACTAATTTTCCTCTCTAATCTTATTGGCCAAGAAGTACATTCTGGGTTTTCTTTTATCTATTTATATTTCTTTCCACTTTGAAACCTGAATGCAAAAAACACTGTTGAGCTAAGTAAAACCAATGCACTAAACGCCCGTTACTTGACTGGGGTTCATAATCTGTTTCAATCAAAAGCATCACTGTCAGGGCACTTAAAATTTCAACTATAGCACGTTGCCACATTTGCTTTGGTCCCCATAAGCGACAAGCCAACTTCTCTCTACTTTTTAAAGTAAAACAATGAGTATTTATCTAGGAAAAAATCCAAATAATAAAGCAGGAAATTAAAATTTTGAACCGAACACAGATTAGCTAGCTGAAAAGGACATCAGCATTCATGCTTAGGCCGGCATCTTTCACTTAAAACTTGGTGCATTTCGTTTTTTAAGTTAGAATTTGGAATTTGTTGGTAGTTAAGTTTCTTTTTTTCTTTGTTAGTCTGTTCTACTGACATGGGTCACTTTTTTGTTTTGACGGTGTTACAACAGTGGGATGGGGAGCTTTTCATCTTGGGTTCTCAAACAACTCTGATCCAGAGCCAGGACGGTGTCGTAGAACAGATGGAAAGAAATGGCGGTGCTCAAGAGATGCGGTTGCCGACCAGAAGTATTGTGAGCGGCACATGAACAGGGGCCGCCATCGTTCAAGAAAGCCTGTGGAAGGTCAATCTGGCCATTCCGCTGCAGCCATCACCGCCACTACCACCAAGCTGATGCCAACTGTCTCATCCTCTTCAGCATCAGTGGTAGGGCCAGTAGGTGGCTGCGGCGAGTCCAACAGCCTTGCCATTGCACAGCAGCAGTTCAAGAATTTGCAGCCTGGTGGTGCATCGAATCTTTCTGCGGCAGCTCCACTGAACAGGTGATAGAATTAACCCCCCCCCCCCCCCCAAAGCGTTCATTCCTTGTCTGCAAGCTGTAGTTGATAACATTTATTTTGACATCGTAGGTTGCTGCCATCTGCACAATTGTTACTCTTATTTTGCTTTGATTTAGAAAGAATAATAATTGCAGGATCTACTTATTATCTGCATTCCTGAGAATCCTGACAGTGACTGATCTTACTAGTTATTCCTTTTAAAAGATTGTTTAATGCATGTTAAAGTTGTTTATAGAAGTTTAAGTTTAGCTGTTACATAATTTTACTTTCATATTTTGGCTAAGTCATTGATGGATTCTAATTCTATTGATATCATATTTTGCAGGTCGCTTCTGAACAAAGAAACTGTGGGTGAAAGAATACATGATACTGCACCAGGACTCTCCATGATATCCCCCAATGTTGACCTGAAATCTAAGGAAAATCCTTTTTTGATCCTAAAAAATGAGTTTGGAGTTGTTTCTTCTGACTCACTCCTTAACCCTTCCCACAAAAGCTCTTCCTTGATTAAGTGCAGAAATTTTGGTTCTTCTCAAGATCTTACTAGTCAAGAAACTGAATCCCAGCAGTCCCTTCTCCAGTTCATGGATGACTGGCCTAAAAGCCAGTCTGATCGCTCAGCCATTTCCTGGCCTGAAGTTGATGTTCAATCAGACAGGACTCAACTTTCCATATCAATACCCATGGCTGCCTCAGATTTCATGTCCTCCACTTCCTCTCCCAACAATGAAAAAGTAACTTTGTCACCTCTCAGATTATCACGTGAATTTGATCCTATACACATGGGATTGGGAGTGGGCAATGTTATTAATGAACCAAACCAGAGGCAAGCAAATTGGATTCCTATTTCTTGGGAGACTTCCATGGGTGGTCCTCTTGGTGAGGTATTGCACAGTACAAACAGCAGCACCGCAGACTACAAGAAATCATCAGCACTTAACCTTATGACAGAGGGCTGGGATAACAGTCCTCGGTTAGGATCATCTCCTACTGGGGTCTTACAAAAGACTACCTTTGGTTCTCTTTCGAATAGCAGTGCAGGAAGCAGTCCAAGAGCAGAGAATAACAAGACTCATGAAGGTGCTAGCCTTTGCAATGACCTCCTCGGTTCAACCCTTATTCATTCTTCCTCTTTGCCTGCTTTGTAACCACTTTACCTACCCGACAAGTCACCAGGATGTGGAAGAAGAAAAAGAAGAAATAGAAGCCAGAATTTTATGTCTGCCAAACATGGAACAATTAGTTATGAAAGCTTAAATTGTTATGTTGATCTCTTTAATTTTTGTAATTTGTACTTTTTAAGCCATGGTTTGTTCCTAAAATTTAGAGATGAAACTAATCTTATATCAAGTCAAATGCACTTGTAAAATCTCTGTGAAGAACATTAAAAATCTTCTTATCTAAGTAATTAATCACTAGAACTAATTAAAGAACATCTAATTTCTCTGAAGAACATATAAAATCAAAATCAAACAATTAAAAAATGTAGAGGTGTGCGTAACCGTCACCAGTGGCATTACTCGTCTGGTTACCATCACAAAAGCACAGAAAGTAAAATGCTTTGTGCAGATCATACAGCCAACTCCTATATGCCTTTTGAAATCACTGCTAAAATTTACGATCAAACATTTGTAAACTGATCACTTTATATGTGGGTCTGAGTCTGACAGTCTCATAAAAAAATCTCTTTTTTTCTCTTCCACTGACTTTGGCCATCTAATTCTCATGATCCTAATCATAAAAATTCAATTGACTGGAATATTTCAATGATTTGACATAAGTACTGAATATGATCGTAAGAATTAGATGGCGAAAGAAATTAATGATTACCCATATTTTAGCCAGAATTGAAAAGTCTCACCACACAATATGAGGCTGTACATGAACTGAAAAGGACATCCCACCAATTCCCATTCCAACTATTAACAATCAAATTCCAGACTTGTTGAGGGTGCGTCTTATTGGATGGATGAGAAAAAAATGTGACTGAAAAATAGGACAGACAGATGAGATGGTAGTAACTCATTCTATATCCAAACATAAAACAAATGGAGAGTAGAATATGGGTGTAAATGCTTTGGCAGAATGCATTCAGTTTGAGGAATTTTGCTTATTATCGTACATCCCAACCAACCCTTTACAATTTTTTTACAGTTTAAAAACAAGAGAAAATATCGAAGGTGTTGAAATTTGAATTTAATTTATTAATTATTATGGTAATTATAAGAATTAATTAAATTAAAATTAAAATTTATCTTAAATATTTTTAATACTTGCAGAAATCATATAAACGAGTATAAATGTTAATTACAACTACAGAATTTTAGTAATGGTACTATAGTTTTATTAAAGGAATTGAATAAAGAGTAAGCGGAGAACCTGTTCATGTGACGGGCGCCCGTTAAAACCTGCTGAATTAGCCGTGAAAACCTTCCTTGATTTAGCCTTTTAATAGACTAATTATTAGGGAAGAATCAAAGTTTGTTAGGAAATCTTTATCCTAATCCTGATTTCAGTTCGGCCTTTATCTAATAATGCACCCTAAAAATAAATAAAAAAATCCTAAAAGCAAAAGCAATCCGTTTCCGCTGGGCCTCTGTGAAATAGTGGATTTTGTCTTCACATCCATTCTCCATGGATTTAAGTATTTTGGGCTCATCTTTTTGAGTTATATATTATTTATTATTATTTTACTGCCCACTCTGATCCTTTTTTGATTTATTAACACACAGAAAATTGAAGATAAAAAAGAGATAAATCTTGTGAAAAGTTGATAGAATAATTAATGAATAGATGAATCTTCAACTTGATAGGGCAGCAAACAATTCTTTTTAACAGGTCTTAACTTTTGTTCATTATTTTTTCATGTGATAATAAATTTATGAAATAATATAGAAATGACTATTGATTAATTGTGCTGTAATAGCTGCGGGTAAAGTGTTATAAATATATTAATAAATAATATACAGATGCCTAAAAATGATAATAATAATAATAAACAGGAGCCAAACCCTCGTTTAACAAAGCCAGAAAACGCTTTAGAACGGTCTATCCATCTTTCTCAGCTATCAAAACCAAATTTTTGGTTCATTTCAAAAGGTAAGCGATCTGAAGGTCCTTCGGCGTTCAGGTTGCAACAGGCTTTTATCATTCTTGCCATTGGCGACCGCCAACTATCAGCATGGAGGTTAATTCCATTTTCTTATTAAGAAATAAACACCAAATCCAAGGTGCTCGTGTCGTGTTTCCCCTTTCATAGTCAAAATCATCTTTAGTTACACATTTGTATATGTATATGCATATTAGAACTACTTTTAATCAGACTTAATTACAACTTAAAAGTTAAAATTACTCTTCAGAAGAGCAGAGGCAATTTTCATTTCCAATTAGATCCTGGCTTATGAAGGACATTTAATCTCTTGTGAGAGACATGATGATGATAATGATGATGATATTCACATGGAAAGAGGGAAAATGACCCAAAAAATTGCTGAAGTGAAAAGACACCATACTAAAGACATGAAAAACAGTGTAAACATGACGATTCAGAAGGGAAGATGGAAGACTACAAGATCTAGAAAAGGTACAAAGGAAGAACAAATCCTAAATCCTCAACAATTGCAATCAGATTCGTATCAATGAGAACGCATATGCACAACAAATAGCTCAATACAAAAATTAGTCAAATGATATCCCAAAAATAAGAAAAATATAAATGCAAAATGCTATAAACTTTTGAGGAGCAATGAAATAAAAATGTCAATCCAATATCGCTAACTCATATATCCACCAGAAGGCAAAGAATATAATTCAATCAAAGGTCCATCTTTCACTCAGGGATAAATTACCTTGTCATCACAATCAACTTCAGAATACAAGGACCAAAAGGTCTACAAAGTCAAAGAGCATATGTGATTGAAAGTCTAAACTGAGAAAAGACAAAAATTACCAAATTTAGAACAATTTTAATGACTACGCATGTAAAACTTTTTTCCATGAAAGAACAAACTCACAAAGCAGACTCTGCTAAGAGGACTTAGACTTCAACTTCTTTGTGCGATTGACTAGTGGATACATGCTCTTTCTTACTCTCCTAGCCTTCTTCACAGATTTAGCTTTCTTTACCTTCTTTGCCATAGGAGGCATTTCCCTTATAGGACCAGGAGGTATCCCTTTCTTAAGTGCACTTCCTCTAGGAGTAACAGAGGGTGGTAATCTCAAGCTTAGTGGAGGTAAAGGGCTGTGGGGCTTCCAAACCAAATTGTTTTTAATTGAAAATCTTACCCTCTTTGTGCTATTCTCACAAGTTTTTGCAGTTCCACCACCTTCACCATCCTCTTGAGTGGTTTGCTCCCCATTCTGAGATTTTTTGCCATCCATACTCTTTGCTCTCTTTCTCTTCTTGGAGACAGCACCATTAACTTTAGGCAAATCACAGGCACTTGCAACATCATTATTCAAGCCCACTTCTTCGGCAACCTTCTCAAACTGGAGCTGAAGGTTTGAAATCACTGATTCAGTAAATGTTATCGAATCCCCATCACCATTCTGCTTAATATTAGAACTGGCACTTTCTGCAGGTACCATAAAATCATTCTCCTGATCTGCAGGGCTACATTCAGCATTCTTGCTTTTCTTAGTCTTTTTGCCACTGTCCCCAGTGGCCTTTTTCGCCTTCTTGCTCTTCTTTGACACCTTATTGGCAGGAACATTAGCATTAACTTCAACCGGCTCTGAAGCACCATTAGAACCATCCACTTCCATCTCACTAGCAATAGGTATCAATTCAGGCACCTCATCTTCTTCATCCCCTTCATTACCCTCAGGAATAGAAATATCAATACCCAATGACATCAAATCCTTCTCCAACTTCAAGAATTCCTCATGTAATCCTAACACAATCTTTCTATTACCCTGACAGCAATCCACTGAAGAACCCAATTCATAAAACTTTGTAGAGAATCCCATCACCAAACTAATCGTCCCCATCACAACCAAATCATCGCCTTCATCAACCTCATTAACGGACCTCTTAAGTTCCAACAAGATCCTTCCCATTTTAACAAACACATCGAACACATTGCTTCTAATCTTTCCAACCAAAACCTTATCACTCACTTTCCCCATAATTCCAACAAATGGTTCCAACAAAACCTCAAGAACCTCCCTTTTTACCGGAAGAAAGGGCCTCAGTTCCTCGAGAAAAACCGAAGCAATATGATAATTAACGCCATTCCCTCGAAACTTATCATCTGCTAAAAAAGTTCCATCAACTAAAACCCTAATCGAACGACGCGTAAAATCTAAATCCCACGACCATCTCTTCAACATAACGAAAAAGCAATTCAAAAACCTACGAATTAAGAGGTAAAACTTATCTAACCTTAGCTTATCAATTCCAGTCCACTCTCGACGCATCGTAAGAAGAAAAACAGAGAAATAATGGAGAGAAAGACCTTGTTCGAGCTTCGGGAGAACCGAGGAAAGCTTTTCGATGAGGTCCGACTGAGCCGGTAGCTTGTCGGCGTGCCAAACGCAGTAGAAGAGACCTTTCCAGAGTCTCTTCATCTCTTCATCGGAGACATCCGTCTGAGAAGGAAGCCAAGTGTCGAGGAGAGACCGTACGGCTTTGTCTCGGGTCGACTTGTCGCAAGCCGCTAGTTGCTTTATCAGGCTTGGGCCCTCTCCGGCTCCAGATCCGGTCATTTTGAGCCGGTTTAAAAGGAGTTAGAAGAAATTGAAAATAACTGGATTTAGAGAGACAAGATTTTGTTTGAAATTATTGACAGAGAAAATCGTCGGAATCGGAGGCTTCTGTCTATTTTGCTGCTAAAGAAAAGTGAGCTAAAAAAACCCTAAGGGTAGTTTTGGAAATTAAAACCTACACGCCAAACGGCTAAACGGAAAAAATTAAAAAAAACAAAAAAAAGAAAAAGATGAAAGACGGCTAAGGATTTACGTTCATTATATTTTTTAAATTGTTATTTTAATTTTTTAATATAAATATTAATAAATAATATTTAATTTATAAATAAAAATTATTTTCATAAATATAAAATATATAATAAAAGTGACGCTATTGGTATTTTCAGAAAAAAATATAATGATTTTTATTTTTATTTTTATTTCATTATTGATAAATATTCTTTAATTTAAATGGAATATTTTATTTTCATTAATAAGTGATTAAAATTACATAAAAATATATTAAAATGATAAAATTGTATAAAAAAATAAAATGAAAAATATAAAATTTCAATCTAACACAATAATTTTTTTATCAAAGTATAAATATTGGATAGTAAAAAAAATTTTATTTGTGGATTATCAATCTAATCTAGGCAGGCCTAAAAAAGAGTTAGCTCACATCCTTTGCAATGCCTAAACACTGCTCTTTCTTAAGCCACTGGCCCATTGTTTTCAAGTCAACAAAAATGGGCTAAAGTCCAAATAAAAACTCCCATTCAAATACAGTTTTTTTTTTTTAAGGTGGCTAATTATTATTTATGTTTTGTTTTAAACTTGATTTGTTTGTATATTTTCAGATCAAAAGAATATTCAATTGGTCTCTAAGTCTACAATCTTGATAGTTTTCCGAATAATTTTATTTTTTTGTCATGTGGCTGCTGTTTTATGATTTTATATTTTTTTACACCAAATTACACATAAGCTCTTAACCTAGTATTTATTAACATTGCTTTTGGTATTTCTCAACAAGCAAAGAAGATCTTATAATTGGAAATTTTATTTTGGGGTATTAGTCGTACATAAATATGTTGATGACAACATGTTAGGTAGGTCTACCCATAAGAGTGATGGGATGGTGACATGAAAATTGAAAAACAAGGTACAATAATTTTGAGGAAACAAAAGGTCAAATGTAATTTTTTATCCAAATTAATATGGTAACATCTAATTTAATTGAGCTTAAAGTGCTTTAATGAATAGAAAGCTAATGGCAAGACCAAACACAATATTTTCTTATTTTGAAATTTAAAGCCAAACCCATTTATAAAATAATTTTCAAAAGGCTAAAATTTACATGTATAGTTTGGTTTTTTTTTTTATTTTTTATCAAGGAGTCGTAATTTGGAGATAATAAAAAAATTACATATATTGTAATTTAAATCTTAAATTTATTAAATATTATAACTTAAAAATGATTATATAAATAAATTAAATTACGTTTTATGTTTTTATGATAATTTAAATGCGAAGTTGATTTACACATGGAATATACCATAAATATTTTGATTACAGCAGTAGATATTTATTGACCAGCTCTTTTTTTTTTTTTTTGGAGATATATTGACCAGCTAAATTGATCGGTTACAAAACAAAGGAAATAAGAAATCATTTGTGCTCTATTCAAGCACATTTCTGCCATATGTATTACCGACTTTGAAAGCAAAAACGACAGGGAGGCAGAGGGAGATGGGTGCTAAGATTGCCAAATTTAGTTTTTGTCCTTTGTCAAACTCGCAGGGAAATGAATGCCAAAAACCCTTTTTTTTTTTTTTTACTAACAAGGCCTATCCTTCGTCAAGGTATGGAACAAAGGCTAAACAGGTAGGCATTTAGCAACTTTCATGGAGGCCAATGCAGAAATCTTAATTAAGATCGTTCTGTTGGTTTCTATGTACCGCAACTTAATCTTTATACTAAGATTGGTTCAGCCATAAATGGCAGCGTTGGAGGGAATGTTACTGTCAGAGGGATGTTGGTTACCCCAGCAATTTTCATGTACAGCCAGGATTTCCTTGAACCAATTGTCTTAGTTTTCAGGTCAATCCCGGCCTCTTGTATACGTGCATGAGGGTGGCATGAACTCGCTTGAGTTGGCTATTCATAGTTTGTTAGATTAGCCTTCATATAACTCATTAGCAGCTTTTCTACGTTTCTTTCTTGATGTAAACCTGTAAGCCGCTACGCTTCTTTTCGGTGACATAAAAATTTGTCTAATCTGCTTAATTCGTTTAAAAGCTAACACCCTTTCTAAGGAACATCAGCAGTTGAAAGGCTAAAGCACAGGACCAGCAGTCCTTTAAAGGAGTAGTAGTACCATACTTGGTGTCCAGACTAACCCCAACATCACAAGAAAATGAGTCACAACAAGGTTTGCTCCCAAGTGAATGTACCATTTTCATGGGAGCTCAAACCTGGGGTCTCAAAGGTGATACGTGAAGAGGGCAGCATTAATATAAGACATGTCACAGTAAATTTACCCCCTCCTCCTTGCCTGTCAAAGAGTGCTCGGTTTTCTGTCGATGATTTGCAGGGTGTTCTTTCTCCATGCCAGCTTCAGCCTCTGCCGAGAAGTTCAACAAAGAAGGGTAATTTCAACAAGCAGGATGATCCTTTTGTATTAGCTTATAGGAAATGCACAGAGTACTCTATGAATGGTAAGTTGGGAACTAATGATAAAAAAGATGTCTCCAGGACTAGGACTAGGAAGAACATGTTCACTCTCTCATGCAGGCACTCATGCACTGTTAGCAGTGATAATGTGGTAAGAGTGTGTCAGTGCTTTAAGGAAAAGGCGAAGGAAGAACAGAAGGAAAAAGACAGGGGTGATGCAAAATTGACCGGACAAAGCGATGTCAAATGCAAACAGGAAAAGTTATTAGTCAGGTTTGTATGTCTATGAATTATAAGGCCCATGTTTGACGAATGATCAAATGTATGCAATTTGTATAATTCTGGGCGCATTGGTATCTTGAAATATGGATCTATAATAATCAAATTGCCAGTTGAACTGTTGTCAGAATTGTACTAGTTCAACTGATGTGTTGAAGACATTCTACCATTGAAAGTGTTGAAACTTCAAACAAGAAGCTAAGAGTATCAAAGATTAACAAAAACTCTTCTTTTCTTTTTTTTTTTCCTTTTCTGCACTAATTTTCAACTTTCAAAATCTGTCTATAGTCTTTGAGACTGAGCCATAATTGCGCAAAAAGGGGGCAAGGAATGTGGATGAATCAGTGACCAAAGTTCTGTACATAAACACAGCCAATCTTTCTGAGTTTGTCACTTTCTCTTTTCTATTTTTTTTTTTCAGCTTCCAAACTTTTCTGTGATGGAGACCCATAAGACTTCGTCTTTTAGCCGCAACCTCTCCTGGCTTTTCCTTGCAAGTTCTGTTTAAATTGCTAATTCTCACCATCTTTTATTCACGTTTAATGTGCTATGATGCTAGGAAGCTATGTAATCATACATTCATAAATCGCCTTCTACAAGAAAGCCCTTTGCTATAAAAAACCTAACCAAATAATTTCCTACCCGAAAATAGCATTTAGAAGAAAAATGAATAAAAGCAAGGTTAACTCCCGAGGGAAGGTGCCTTTCTCATGGGAAAACAAGCCAGGGGTTTGCAAGGAAACAAGCCAAGAAGGCTGCAAACAAGATTACTTTCTGCAAACGCTACCGCCACCTCCATGTCTACCTGAAAGTGCTCAGATATCGATCCATGACATCAAAATTCCTCCTCCTCCTTGTGCTTTTCACCCTCCTTCCAGAACTTCTTCAAGACGAGGACTTAAGAAATCCGATGACCCCTTTTTGGCAGCTTACAAGGAGTGCACCAAGAGCACTACCAAATATAAGTTGGCTAAAAAGGATGGCGGGTGGGGTTTGAAGAAGGGTATGTTCAATTTCTCTTGCAAACAATCCTGCAGTGTTAGGAATGACAGTTTAGTTAAGATTTCTCAGCTTCCTCTGGAGAGAAACAGGTCAGGTACAGAGATGCGAGAAAAAAATGGGAATTGTTTGTGAACATTGATAGGTTCAACATCCTGTATTTGTTTCTTGGAATTTTGTTGTTTTTCTCTTCATTATTGCATCGATGCTTGAAAAGTTTGGCTTACAGAGATGATTCAATTTCTACTCGCATCCGCTAAATGAAGTTTGGGTTCTTTCGCTGGAACAAAATATCAGATTCAAGGTTGATCAAAATTAAAAAAAAAAAAAAAGTTGACGTACAAGATAGGGTTTAAGATTCAATGATTGAGAGCCACCGAAAAAAATTAACCTGAAGCCGATTCCAGTCCTCTGAAACCAATTTCAGTACCATTGAATTACAGCGTATTGGTGATTTTTGGTTACCATCGAGCCTTTAGGTTAATAACCAAAGAGATATAGCCATATAGGGCCGAACTTATAAATTATAATCACCAATGAGCTGTAGCTCGAATGCCAATAGTAGTCAAAAGACAAAAAAAAAAAAAAAACATTTTTCGCATAAAAAAACCTGTTATATAATTGGATAAAACAAAAAGAATTTTTGCCAAATAAAAAGTGTATATATGAAAACTTTTATTTTCTTTAGTTTCTAGCCATGCTTCATATATCATGCTCTAATTAAAACCTTGTAATTTAATTAGAAATTTTAATTCAAATATATATTTTCCCAATTGCTTTAGACAATAATATTATTTACATTATATTTATTAATAATGAGATTGAAATAGCCAAATAAGTAAATTGATGATAATTATTTTGTTGTCTATGTAATAATTTTTTCATTGAACAAAACCAACAATTATTTACCTTTATTTTTTTATTAATCCATGATAATTGATAAGTCTGATTAAAAGTTAAAAGTTGGAATTTGAGACCCGTGGGTGGGGTTTATTCAGGACCCGACCCGGAAAATCCTAAGTAAGCTGAACCCGTCAAGGATATAAGTGGCAAAAGATTAAGAAAGCGTTTCTGATTTATATGCAAATTTTCCCCATAAAATATTTTTCATTATTTCCACCTGTTCCTCTCTAAAACCCTAGCACCTGAAATTTGGATACTGAGATCCAAGCTCTCCCTCGCAATTGAAACTCTTTCTTTTTCATTTGATATCTGTAAGTATGCAAAATTCAACTTTAACTTCTTTATTTTAGTAATTTTTATACGATTGATTTGGAGTAAATTTGATTCATGATAATTTCTGATACGAATAATTTAGCCATTTAAATTACTTAGATTGGAACCTTTGATGCAGTTTCTATCTTTTTTTTTTTTTTAATAATCGTTCTTGTTGACAGCTATTTGAGGTAAAACTTCGCATATGTGCTGGAATGGCCAACAATTCTCAACCTTCTAGTGCCCAGGTAGAGCATGCTTATTAGGTTAAATTTTCTTGGTTTTATTTCTATAATCTAAATTCTTATCTAAGATTCTGTTGTTTTTTGGGGTTAAATCTTAGTTGCTTTTGCCATGTTTTCTCGAAATTTTATAAAATTTATAAACATTGTCTAAGGCTTTTCTTCGTCTTCTTGGAAATAGTTTGAAACAACTTGAATGTGGACATTACAAGTTATGACTTTGAGAAGATTCTCTGGGTGGCATTATTGTTCTTATATCGATGAGAAATCGCATATTGTTTTTGGCAAAAGTCCATACATAAGTAATCTTTTTATTATAGTTTTTGGATGAAGGTCTAAGATGACTAAACTTTTTTGCTATCCTCTCTTTCTCCCAGCCTCATTGGCCTCCTGCAGTTGGATCCTTGGGTCCTCAAAGTTATGGCTCTTCCTTATCTTCACAGGTAATTCCCTTTTTTTTTTTTTGCATGTTTGCTGACCTTTTTCATACTCTGAAAGAAATTTATTAAATGCATTACGTGTGAAATTTCCATCATAGTTTCGACCAGTGGTTCCAACACAGCAAGGACAACACTTTGTTCCAGCTGCTTCCCAACAATTTTGGCCTGTTGGGCAGGTTGCCTCTTCAAATGTTGGGATGCCAGCTGCTCAAAATCAGCAGATGCAGTTTTCTCAGCCAATGCAGCAGTTTCCTCCCTGGCCAAATCAACCAGGTCTTCCTACACCTTCAGCACAGCCTATACAAGTACCATATGGCCAAACAAACAGGCCTCTTACATCTGAATCACCACAGCCACATCAAACTGCTCCTACTTTGAATAGTCATATGCCAGGCTTAGGGGTCCCTGGAATGCCCCCCTCTTCATCATATAGTGTAAGGCCGGATGCCTATGTTTCTATTTTCCCTTTGTAGTCTTGCACCTTCTCTGATGTTTTTACATTTTTCCAGTTTGCGCCATCTTCTTTTGGCCTGCCACAGAACAATGTCAGCACATCATCCCAGTTTCACCCTCTATCTCAAGTGCATGCACCTGTTGCCCCAGTTGCTGGACAACCTTGGTTGTCAACTGGAAATCAGAGTATTTCACTTGCTACACCAATACAGCAGACTGGCCAACAACCTCTACTTATTTCTTCTGCTGATAGAGTAAGCATTCCTCCCTAGGACATAAAACACAATGTATATTAAACAGGAATTTAACCAGGGTATGCCTTATGTAATTTTTGGTGTTCGATTCAAATGTTATATACTCAATATTTATTTGTTGCTGTGCTGGTTGGAAACATTTTAGATAAGAAATTGAATTTTGCAGAGAACACATGCCTAAAAAGTGCAAATTGTTATCAAAGTTGACCAGTCTTTAGCGAAAGACAGAGAGAGGGGAATGAAAAACAAAATAAGGACATAAATAACCAAAGAAACACTGTAAAAGGGAAAAAGAAGAGAGCTTAAACCTTCTTAACTTGTCCTATCTTTATCTTTTTCCTCTTTCTTGATCATTAGATAACAAATGCTTCTGTTGGTTTTTCTTTGTTCTTCTTTAACCGTTTTTATGATATAGTGGCCTTGAGTGAACTTTTTCTTCAAAAAGTACATATAAATTTTTATGTATTTCTATGAGCTTTACTTCCTTCAAGCATAGTAGCTGGAACTCTGCATAAATTTTTTATCATGAAAAGGTTTTGTTTTTACAAAATCAATTTCACATGCTCTGCAAACTATCAGTTGATTTAAGGCTTTCTAGACTGAGTTTTTGTTTAGTCTCAATTTCTGTGCGTTGCATTTGAAAAAGAAATTGTACGTTACACCATCTCAAATTGTTTCTTTTCCTGATCCAAAATTAACATTCCTTCTCTGTTATGATTTCAACATTAAAACTTCTGTCCTCAGTGAAAGGAGCTACCAGCACTTCAAACAATGACTATATATATATATATATATATATATATTACTTTCCATCCCTATTTAGAATGCGAGTTATAATGTTAAGTAACTTAAGTTATTGTCATAACATTTTGGATATTATATATAATGCCAGAAATTAGTCATTGTGGGTAGCATCTTGGAAATTAGTTTCCACCATATTTTGTTTTCAGTGTCATGTTATCTTGCTGCTGTACCCATTTTACCACTCTGTGAAACCTTTTTGTTTTTTATTTTCCAATTTTGGTGTACCAGGCCGCCGATGTTCCTAGCCTTACTCTGCAATCATCCTCTGATTGGCAAGAGCATACATCTGCTGATGGAAGAAGGTAACTCTATATTGTAGCTCAACGTTGTAATTTTTGCTCACATCTTGCCATGTATTTGTAATTTAACTTCCGCTAGGACTGTTTAGGTATCTTCTTGTACTTTTATTATTATATATTGTCATTAATCAGTCCTTATATTTAGTTATTTAGACATCTAGACTTCATGGGGAAATTTGGTGTTCATTTGTTTCTAACTTTTCTTATATATCTGCAGATACTATTACAACAAAAAGACAAGACAATCTAGTTGGGAAAAGCCTCTGGAACTGATGACGTCAATAGAGGTGAGGCATATGATAATCTGGTTGCTGTTTCTGCAGTTAAATTTTGTGTTCTGTAATCTGTTAACTTTGAATTTGATGTGATATGCTATTTATACAAATTGTTCCTTTTAATGGATGCTGAAAACTGTAGCCGTTCTTAACTTGATCAAAATTGTTTTATGCGAAATCTCCTTTCTTTTGCATGTTTTTGCATTGGTTTGTAGATGTCATGGCAAGTTGGAGAAATTTAACGACTGCTCTAAATGGTCACTTTGAGGGCGGGCCTTCACTTTTCTCAAGGCAGGCAACATTTTGCTATTTACATCTTGTTTATCATGTGGGGATAAATATTGTTATTAGGAATGATTAGATACATACACATACTAAATCAGTGCCTACTATTAACCGTTCTCAACTTTTTTCATCATTTCCTACTCTGAAGTGAAGTTTTAGGATGGTGATAATATTGTCCCCCCTCCCCCCCTTAACACAGTTATTTAATCTGCTGTTACACATCTGTAGGCTATATATATTTCTCTTTTAGTTTTGTTGTCTCTTTGATAGTCCATGTGTTTTTCTAACCCTATATTGTATTTTAGATAAATGTGGTTTATACTTCGTACTGTAATAAATTTGTAGATTGATCTAAAGGGATTCGTTATGCTGTTCATTGTGTATTTATCTTCTTGCAAAACTTCTTTGTTGTTCATTCACTTCTGCTACTTCTGATTTTATGTTGATACTTTCTCCCTTTTTTCACATTTATGTTGTTATTGTTGCAAGCTTGTGTTTGCAATGGTTTGTACTGAGTTACACAGGTACATATTGGCTACTAATTTCAGAGGTATGAAATGCTGGGCCAATGGCTCTTGCTGTATTTATAATTTCTCTTTATTTTCATACTTGCTGCTATTGATTCTATAAATATTCCTTTGGGTTGGAAATTTGATGTAAATATATTTTTTTTCATATGCGCTCTAGAATTTCTTTTCTCCTTTTGCAGTTGCAAGGGAGGGAGTAATGGGCGTTGGCAGGAGGTTAAAGAACTGATGATTCCTAGAAAATATCTTTAGTTTCTTGCTTGGCCGATGGAAACATCTTTAAGATTTGTGTCAGGCAAAGGTGTTACTATCTGTAAACAAAAAGTATGATTTAAGTTTAGGTTCATCATTGCAGCTGAAGGAAAAGGGGTTTTATTTGTTGTTGAACTAGATTAGGTATGTATTACCTTGTATCCATTTTAGATGATGTTAAGGGAATGCAAGTTAAGAATTCAAGATGAATCCTAGCACATTCATGAGAAGAATTTGGAGGTTACCTGTGGGCTAAATTCTCACCCAGAGTTGAGATAACACTTCCTCCCCTTCTGAGTTTCGACTAGACTTAGATAATTTTGTTATCAGTACATGGTAAAGACTTTTGCCACAGCTTCTCTTACCTTCAGTGTTTGCACACTCGTACCTGGTCAAGTGAAGCTCTGCAGTATTGACTCTAGACAGCCATTATGCGAGCAAAAACTCTTGCCTGCCTATGGACCAACGTCTTGCGAATGGCTGAAATGTTTAATTGACCACTCCACCTTTTCAGGGTTTGGACTCTTTCAAGTGAAACCATTTTGTAGCATTAGTGTATCTTTTACCATGGTAGAATAGATTCTTTCACCCTATTGGTTGCATGTAAACCCATCCTCTCCCCTTCTGGGAATTTTGTATGGCTGAAACTGATATTGTGTCTCATTTTTGAAGCGGTCATGATATAACTTGTTTTTTTTTTTGTTTTATCTATTTGTTCCATCTTCTTATGTTTGGCTTCTTTGTTGGCAATTTCATTGCTGTCCTTACATTGACTGATATAATGCCACTCCCTTTAATCATGATATTTTGCTGAATTTTTTTTTTTCATTATTACTTTTACTTCTTTGCCTAATTATCGATTTTTCTGTAACAGAGAGCTGACGCTTCCACGGTTTGGAAGGAATTTACAACTCCGGAGGGAAGAAAGTATGTTTGAGCTTTGTTTTACCCATATATTCATCTACATTTTTTCCTCGTATTGTTTAATATGCTCTAGAATATCCACTTTTTTCTGTTAAAATTTTATTTTCGCGATTGATATGTGATCAAGAGATTGCTTTTGCAGGTATTATTACAACAAGGTTACAAAGCAGTCTAAGTGGACAATACCTGAGGAACTGAAGGTTTGTCCTTGTAATTTGTGATTACTGTTTCTTTACCTGGCATTTTACCTTTCTGACCTCATTTTTAAATGCTTAATTCCAGTTAGCTCGTGAGCAAGCTCAGGTAGCAGCTAGCCAAGGAACTCCATCGGATTCAAGAGTGGCTTCTCAAGCTCCAGTTGCTGATTCTGTTTCCATAGCTGAGACACCTACTGCATCTATTCCTGTGATCTCCAACACTTTGCAGGCTTCAAGCCCAGTTTCAGTTACGCCTGTTGCTGCTGTTGCTGATCCTTCCCCTACTGGATCAACAGTTGTTCCTGTTTCACAATCTGCTGCAACAAGTGCATCAGGGGTTCAACTCCCTGCGATGTCTGTGACTCCTTTACTTGCTGTTGCCTCCGGTGTTTCCACTAGTTCTGTTACTTCAGTCAATGCTAACAAAACAGTCATGTATGGACATCTTCTAGACTTCTACTGGTTTTTTATTGAAATTTTCAGTGATTCAATAGCAATGTTGAAATTAACTACTTCCTGCTCTATTCTTACTGCAGAAGGAGCTTCGAAAGTACAGCATCTCAAGACAATGTGCATTTTGCTGATGGAGCTTCTGCTCAGGACATGGAGGTAGGGCTCATATATTGTTTGTTGAAGGCTGTTTCTGTTCACATCTCACTTTCGGTTGACCATTTCCAAGAGAGGCAATAATCTCTTTAAGAGTTCTTTTCTGTTTAAGAAAAACTTCTAGTCACAATACTTACGTTGCTAGCTGGTCTATTTGGCAAAATGCAGATGCTCCTGCTCTCAACATATGTTGGCAGTGGGACATATATTTTATTTTTTTTAATTACTTTCTTTTTACTCGCAGGAAGCAAAAAAGGGGATGGCAACTGCTGGAAAAGTTAATGTGACTCCAGTGGAAGAGAAAGTTCCAGATGATGAGCCTTTTGTATATGCAAATAAGCTGGTAACATTCTAGAAACATGTCATTTCTTTATGTTGTCACTTGACCTTAAGTTTTGTTCTTTCTTTTCCCCTGAGAACTGGGAATTATGATGCCAATTCCTTCGTTTATGTATTATTTCTTCGTACTTATTTTTCCTTTTGTTCAGGAGGCAAAAAACACTTTCAAATCTCTCCTTGAATCTGCAAATGTGCTCTCTGATTGGACTTGGGAGCAGGTATCCCAGCTGTATCTTGTCCCTTCCTGCCAGCTTTGGTCTTTTGGTATATTTACGTTGACATTGAAATTTCTTCTAGGCAATGAGAGAAATAATTAATGACAAAAGGTATGGTGCTTTGAAGACACTTGGTGAGCGGAAGCAAGCCTTTAACGAGGTAAATGTTCACAATTGTGGCTTTGTGATAGGATTTTGTTATGTGTGTGATAAGATTGCTTTAAGTTTGAATTACTTCCCTCCCCCTCCAGTTGCTGCTTAGTTTATATTTATCTGCAATTAAATGTTTGAAGTCAAAGCAAACATTATTAGTTTATATTTATCTGCAAATAAATGTTTGAAGCCAAAGCAAACATTCTACATACTGTTCTGACATTATATTGATTAATAGTACTTGGGTCAAAGGAAAAAGCTAGAGGCTGAGGAAAGGCGCATGAGACAGAAGAAAGCTCGGGAAGAATTTACAAAGATGCTGGAAGTATGTTGCACTAAGCTCATGTTATCTTCTTTTCTTCTCTCTGTTTACATTTCTATTTGATCTAATGCTTTTGATTTCTTTCCAGGAGTCCACAGAACTCACATCATCCATGAGATGGAGGTTGAAATTTCTCTCTATATCATGGAAAAAATAGATTTGTTGTGGCCTCATCATTCTAAATGTGGAATTTATTAAATATTCTAACTAAAGCTATTGCATTTTCAGCAAAGCTCAAAGTTTGTTTGAAGATGATGAGCGGTTCAAGGCTGTTGAACAAGCCAGAGACCGGGAAGATCTTTTTGAAAACTATATAGTGGATCTTGAGAGGAAGGTAATAGTTTCTGATTTCTCGCTTATTTTGCAATTGTGCACTTTCACACCTAATTGAGTTTTGGTGTTTGACTGTTGTGACAAGATATAGAATGCCTAGGTGTTGTCTGTAGGAATAAAACCTACGAAATTCCACCCTGTTCCCCACCTTTGCATTTGTCCTAGATAGCCTGTTGTATTTCTTCAGCAAGATTAATATTCAAGGTTGGACGTTGTTTCATCCAGATTTTGCCTTGGGAATAATAGCTTTCATGCACAAGTTAATTGGTAATATTATAAATTCAGTAAGCACAGTTTGGCTAGAATTTTATCACTAAACTTATCACAATCATTGGTTTATCTCTCTGATTTTGAATTCATTGACTCTTGAAACGTTTGGCAACTTCTGTTTGTAACATATCTTGTCAATGATATCTTGCTACTCTCTGCCACAGATTTATGACTGTTATTTCCATAAAACATGATGGGTCAGACATTTAAAAATGATCCATGTGTGCAAATCTGTCTTTTCTGGTATGGATATATGTTTTACATGCTTTTATCAATTATGGATATATGTAGAAAATTTTTTGAGGGTGATGCATCAGGAAATGGTCAGAAATGTCATGTCTTATGCCAGCATTATAGTGCTCTCTGCTGTATTCATTGGAAACTACTCCAAGCAAAATATCATACACCACTTGAAATATGAAGACTTACATTTTGTTATTTAATGCAGGAAAGGAAAAATGCTGCAGAGGAAAAAAGGCGGAATATAGCAGAATACAGGAAATTTCTGGCATCCTGTGATTTTATTAAGGTACAACCTTTAGAAAAGAGGATTATAATTTGTCTCCTTTGTAAAGAATGCTAGCATGGTTTCTATTTCCTTAACTTTTTCTTTCAAGTTGCAGGCAAGCAGCCAGTGGCGGAAAGTTCAAGATCGCTTAGAGGATGATGAAAGATGCTCACGTCTTGAAAAAATTGACCGGTTGCTCATATTCCAGGACTACATTCATTACTTAGAGAAGGAAGAAGAGGAAAAAAAGAAGACGCAAAAGGTAGAGGTACTTTATGATAATTAATTTCCTTCCAATCTGTGTTCTTATCTTTTCTCTTTTGTCAAAACTTAGGAACAATTGAGACGTGCTGAGCGCAAAAACCGTGATGCATTTCGTAAGCTAATGGAAGAACATGTTGCCGATGGCACTCTTATTGCTAAAACTTACTGGCGAGATTATTGTTTGGAGGTTTTTTTTATATCTATTTTAATTTGTTTTATTGTAAGAGTGGCTTTAATTAAGGTGTGTTTTGTCTTCATCAGCAGTAGTTTTTGCTTAATTTTTTTGTTTTTGATTTCCAGGTGAAAGATTTGCCTCAATATCTTGCTGTTGCATCTAACACATCTGGTTCAACACCGAAAGATTTGTTTGAGGATGTTGCCGAAGAATTAGACAAACAGGTTTGTGCCTCAATTCTGTTCTCTGTAAGATTTGAGTGTCCATTTTTATCTCGTGTGCATTATTCTTTTGTTCAATTAGAAAAAATGTCATGTTTCTGATGGTTTCTTATGTAAATGTATAGTATCATGAAGATAAAACCTGTATAAAAGATGCAATGAAGTCAGGGAAGGTAAGAAACTATATTTATCTTACATGATCTTGTCTGGTGCCCCTGATTATTGAACCCATTACTTGACTTCTCCCCAGATTACCATGGTTTCCACGTGGACAGTTGAAGATTTCAAGGCTGCTATTTCAGAAGATGTTGGTTCCTTGCCAATATCCGAAATAAACGTAAAGGTACTTCTGTTACAATACACGTTTTCAACCAAAAGAAAAAGAAAAAAAGGAATCGTTAAGCTTCGGTAGAATTGTTATGGAGATAAATGGACGTTAACCTTCCAAGAACACTATATGATTAGAGGTCCTCATTCCTTATCTTTTAATTAGAGGTTTAGAGCTTTAAAATAGTGGTTGTTAGAATGTTAATAAGTTGGATAGTGTATTTATTATTTTGTTCACTTGTATTTATTAGTTTAAAGTAGTACTAAACTAGTGATTGAATATTGATAAGTTTATTCTTTACTCTTCACAGCTTGTGTATGAGGAGTTACTTGAGAGAGCCAAGGAGAAGGACGAGAAAGAGGCTAAAAAACGTCAGCGTCTAGCTGATGACTTCACTAAGCTATTACATACTTATAAGGTGTGTTGTACTGTTTTGAAGACAAATGGGCAATACGGCTTTTATGCACTGTTTAAACAATTACCATGACCATTTTGTTTAACTTCTGGTTGTTGTGCTGCTTTGCAGGAGATAACTGCTTCTTCTAATTGGGAGGATTCCAGACCACTTTTTGAAGAAAGCCAAGAATACAGGTATTTGCACCCTTTTATTTTTTGCATTTAAGATGAACAGCCATCTGGAGCTGCTTGCTGGGGGGTATTTATCATTCTTAAGCATCTCAATCCTAAGATCATTTCCTCCCTGTTGTGGTTTCCTGCCATGCACTTTTATTAGATCAATTGCGGAAGAGAGCTTTAGGAGAGACATCTTTGAGGAATACATTGCGCACCTACAGGAGAAATCTAAAGAAAAGGAGCGCAAACGTGAGGAGGAAAAGGTATGTGAATCTTGAACTATAATGTCCAAGTAGTTGGTGGTTAAAAATCCCAATGTTCATAAATTAACTTTGACTTATGATGGACGTCACTCTTAGTTCACAATTAAGTTACTTTAATTGCTTTCAGACCATAAGATACCCAAAAGGTGTGAGAGAATAAGAGCACTTGTACATTGCATATTTTTTGAGCTTTCCTTAAATTTTCCTGAATCACGATATGCATTTCATATTGTATAAAACCATATGTTTCTTCTAAAATCTAAAGATGTTTATCGGGTTGGTTTGTTGCAGGCTAAAAAGGAGAAAGAGAAAGAAGAGAAAGAGAAACGGAGGGAGAAGGAGAGAAAGAAGGAAAGAGAACGTGAAAGGGAAAAAGGTAAGGAACTAACTAAAAAAGATGAAACAGATAGTGAGGATCTAGATGTATCTGACGGCTATGGCCATAAGGAGGAAAAGAAAAAGGAAAAGGAAAAAGAGAGGAAACACCGCAAACGACATCAAAGCACTGTTGATGATGGGAGTTCTGACAAGGATGATAGAGAGGAGTCCAAGAAGTCTCGTAGACATGGTAGTGACCGTAAGAAATCAAGAAAGGTATTATCTATCCATCGATGATATATTGTTTATTTATCCAACAGGTTCTAATGTTCTTCCAATGTTTCCTTTGCAGCATGCTCACTCACCTGAATCCGACGGTGAAAGCCGGCATAAAAAGCACAAGAGAGATCACCGTGATGGGTCACGAAGACACAGTGGTTACGAGCTGGAAGATGGTGAACTTGGTGAGGATGGTGAAATCCAGTAGTTTCCTATTTAACCTATTGATGCAAAATTTAAAGAAACCAATTGGGGATTAAATCGCTTGAGGTTCTACTACTACATTGCCGTATTCATAAGCTTAATTGTATTTGTCTCTAGATTTTTAGATTATTTAGGCTATTTCAAATGAATTACTAGTATTTCACTTACTTTCCTAGCCTTAGGGCTTGAGGGTTGTGTTTGGTATTTGACATTTATATTAAGGTTTAGATCTTAGTTTGGCGTTTTGGGGTTTTAATTTTAGGTTTTTTTTTTTTTTTTTGGAGCCTCAATGAGTATTTGTTAAAAGCCCTTCTTACCGTGTATTTCGGATGGAGAATTTTAAAATTTTGAAGAAATTTAAAATGAAGGTATTTTAAAATGCATTATTTCAAAATATTAATATTTGTAATTATTTTGTTTGGATAAGCATTTCTTTAAGAAATTTAGTCGAATTTGATGAAATAAAAAATAATGATATTAAAGATAAAAATATATATACATATAAATAATATATGAAATATAGATATTATTAGATTTGTAAAAATATATAGATAGTATTAATAATATGAAAAAAAAATATATTAATAATGATATTTATTTTTTTTAGTTTTATATTTTATGGTAAGTAATACGTAAAATTTGAAAGAATATTGAAAAATATCGTATTTATGTGAAATTTTAAGAGGAAATTTGAGCAGTTTAAATGCACTTCAAATTTTTCTTGAAATTTAATCTAAATTTTGAAAAATTTTTAATTTTTATCTAAATAAATGAATTTATTTTTAAAATTTTGAAATTCTTGCTTGAAATGAAAAATTTTCTTTAAATACATCATCTAAACAAACTCCTATATTTAGCTTTCTTTTTTTTTTTGTTTTTGTTTTTTGCTAACAAATTGGTGAGGCAACAATTGCGAGAATTAAATGGATTGCTTTAAAACTCTATCACTTGGTATTTCATCTTAAATTTGTTAGTGTTAATATTGCATAATTATTAAAGAATTTTTTTTCTCAAATAAACTACAATGGAATATTTCACTAATAAAAACAAATCATATCTAGTGGGATTGTGGAAGTGTTAATAGTAAATTTTATTAAAATAAAAAAAGTAACAAATGAAGGTTTAATTGCTTAGTCAAAATTGTTTAATAACAAAAATAAGGATTAAATTTAAGAAAATCATATAAATGGGTACTTTATGGTGGTTTGGACGTCAACGTCAATTCATGCATCAATTTTTTAATAAGCCATAAGACTGTCGTTCAATCATTAAATTTCAGGGCTTTAAATCGCGATAAAGCCAAGAGACCATGACTCTCTTGCTATCTTCCATTTGAGAAAAAAAAGATATGGATCATTTTTTTCTATATTGTTAGGTACATTACTATCAATCTGAACTAGACAGGAACAGTGACAGATATCAATATTTTGAGCGAAACAGTAACTGAAATTTAGACAAGTAATTAGAATTTGAAACAAGCAAAGGACATCTAAGCTATAGGACATTGATCATGTCCATTACAACTTCAGTTGTAATCTCCTCTGCTATGGCGTTTCCAATTACTAGAACCATGTCCTTTTTCTGGGATTCAAAACCATTCCATTCCTGGCTTGAATCCATTACATCTAATTCCAACAATTGCATTATGTTTGATTCATCTCCACACCGTTTTCCCCAGCCCTTTATTTTCTCACAGATAACCTTTCCCATCTCCTCAGGCCCTAAAAACTTTTTCCCTTTCTGTTCCTTCTCATGGTTCTTATCTACCAACTCCCTCGCACAATCAAAGAGAAGCTGCTTTGTTTGCTGCAAAACCCTTTTGGATATCGAAAATTGTGAAGAGTTAGACCGATCAGGCTCTTGTAATTCACTTAATCCTGCACAGCTTGATTTGTCCGGTGTGGTTTGAAGAAGTAAATTCCAGAGCGAAGCTGACAATATCGAGTCCTCCGTTATTAGCTTAGGCAAGAAGAAGCTTTTCTGCCTTGTGGTGGAAACCCTCCTTGCTGTTTTAACTCACGAGAATTAGTAATATATTCATTTTAAATCAGAAGGAAAGTAATCAAGAATTGCTTAGCAACTTTAAAGATACTAACTTTTATCGAGTGGGGAGCCTGTTGAAGTAGATGATATTTCTTCTAAAACTGACTGAGGGCTGTGCTGTTTACTGTCTTCCATGCAACTCCATTGAAACTTCGTATCTGCAGCAGCCTGTTAGCTTAATGAGTAACAAACTAGAACATTATATTTTCCTAAGAATATCAAATAGTCTTGCTTTATACAAAACATAAAGATAAGCTATAAAGCTTTTCTACCTTCTTTTCTCTTTCACGGTGGAGTTTCAAATTAGATTTGGAATTGTCAGTAAACATCGATGGTTCATCTATGTCACTATCTGAGCATGAATTATACACTGTTGTGCTGCTAGCGGAAGAAAATCTATCTGGCTCTGCCGTTTCTTGGTTATTTCTATCCATCTCAGTAACACTAAGCTTTCCATCATCATCAGAATTTTTGGTTCTTGAGCCTTTGATTGCAAAGAACTTGCTACATGGTACAACTTTAAGTACTTTTGGAAAGTTTGGAATACCCTTCTTGCTCTTGTTTTGACTACCAGACTTCTTTAAAAACTTACCTGAATTGCCATGGCAGCCGATGAAGTTGGCCCCTGAAATTAAGTTCTTTCTCACACACCTTCTTTCGGAAAGGTAAACTTCTAAGACGAAAGGTTCTTGTTGTTCTTGGAGGAGTTCTCCAAGTTGCCTTGCTGGCTTGGATGCTGTGATCCTTGTGGCCATTTGAGCAGTATGTTGGGCTGAAGGGTTTGCAGGGGCTGAAAATGAATCCCTATGGTTTAAGGTTTAAGCTTGATGATCCGAAGGAGGGAAAAATGGGAAATAAAAAGACGATGAGATGGTGCATGTGCAGGGCTAGCTATTAAATGGAAAGACAGACATCTGCCAGTTAGGGTCTAGAAAAAGAGCAGAAACAGAAGGAAGATTGGGTATTTAAGGCTAAGACAGGGAGAGAGGGAAAAAGACATAGTTCAAACAATCTCAAGGTTATATAGCTTCAACTGCTGAGGTACCACCCGAGAGTTTTGCCTGGATACAGTAGTTAGGTGATATAATCTTTTAGTCTAGCATCTTCTGTTCCAGTGTTTTGTTCATGTCATTGCCTGTCTTTACTTGCAGATTTTGACATTTTATTCAATCCTCCAGGTTCCATCCCTCATTTTTTTTTTTGGTCAGATCTATCCTCTCATTTTATTTGAATTCGAATTTAATTTTTGTTTTGGTACTTAATATGGTCCCAAAAGCACTTGTCTTTGTCTGAATGGTGTCCATAACTAGTCAATATTGCTAATGGGAACATAGGCAAATTGAATGCTGGAATTCCTGGATTGGAATTGGCTACTGTATTCATTTACTTGTAGACCTAATCTCAAATATATTTATCCATGTGAACATGTTTATATTCATATGTATGAGCCTGCATTTCCTCTTCCAAGCCCCTAAGTCAAGGAGATGCAATCAACCAGTCCATATCATGGTTCATTGCTCACGAATGATATTATAGTCTTCATTTGTGAACTTATGCTAAAAAAAAAAAAAGGTAAAAAAAGAAGAAAAGCTGCTTTCTTTTCCCTCTTTTTGTTTGTGCTTTTTTTTTTGTTGATGACATGATATGGACATTGGAAGGTCCCAGTGTATGTTTTCTGTTTATAAAGTTAAAAAAAAAAAACAAAAACTTGGGAGCATCTTTTACTTGGGTGTTTGGTTTATTGCAAGATAGAAAGGTGAGGTTAAAAAAAGATGTAGGTATTAGCAATGGATAGGGAGAGAATAACAAGAGGTAAAAAGAGAATCTGTGTCCTCATATTGTTCTGGAATTACTTAAAAAACATTTTTATGTCAAGTAGTAACTTCAGACAGTTGTTTCTGATTGGAATAAAAACCTAAATCCCCATCATGTCCCTCTGTAAGAAATTGTCTTTTCACCATTTTTGTTTATTGATTCTGTTATGATTTTGGGAGAGGGTTTTCAAATTTCAAACTTTAGCTGGGTGGATATGGTAAAACATATATATATATATATATATATTATAAAATGCATTTGGAAAGGAAAGGAAAAAGAAAAAAAAAAAAAAAGCCTACTCCTTAGACCAAGACCTGCAAACCATTCAACCAAGCTATGCCTCCACTTGATGATTTGCATATATCCATGTGACATTAGCAATTAAGAAAAACTATGATGCAAAAAAAACCAAATTTATTTGAAAGAACCCTTCAACTACCAAATTTTGTACTATCATGGACATCAAACTGTTTATGTCTCATAATCTGGTCCGGTCATGGTCAATCTCCCCGTGATTGTTTTAACTTCTCAAGATTCTCCCCAAAGCTTGTTTTTGTTGCACCTAACCAGATACACCATTTAGATTTATATATTTGTCATTTGTACAAAGAATTATTCATTAGAAAATGTCTAAGAATAATCAAAATCAAACCCATGATATATATATAATTTTTTTTTTAAAATTAAAATATTAAAAAGTTAGATTCTAATTCGAAGTTCAGTAAATTATGAAAACCATCAGAACATGTGGGTAATCCAATGCATGCTGTTGATGGGATGGGCTATGGGGCCTTGTCTCCTTCCATCACAATCGTATTAATACAAAGAAGAAGGCAACAGTCGAGTAGCCTTTAGCTTTCAGCTTAAGCATCTTACTTTTTGCTAACGGCTTTATTGACTCATCCCGAAAGTGAAGATTTTCCTCTGCTGTTTCTTGGCTGTTTTCTTTTTAACAGCGAACTGGTTTTGTTGTTTGAAGATGACAGGGATAAGATGTTCTTTTCATGTGTGATTTGTGAATTAATATGCAGACTCGCGGAAGGTTTGAAGCCTGGTATCAATGTGAGGTAATGGAAATGGACACGGTTTCCAACTGCCAAGTTGAATAGGAAGAACAAGCGTGTGAAACTGACTTCACATTGACAAACCCCAAACCCATGTTTTGGTCAACCATTTAAAAATTTTTAAATCAATGGTAGAAGATTCTGATTTGAAACAAGAAAAACCTCAGGATATAAACAATTAGTGGGTGCATGGCCCAAGTTTCCATTCTTTATGTATAATACCTAAAAGGTGTAATAACTATCGACTATGAATAATAAATATGCAGCATTCCATATGAATATCACTTCAAAACAACATCATTAAGATTCAAATAAGGTGTGAATTAGATGGAGAACAATTTAAATACGTCCAAAGAGAATTGGAAGGGGTCATGGCAGTTTCAGAAAAACAAAGGAAAAAAATAAAACCAAAGACCTAGCATTACAGTTAAGAATTGTAACTTATGGTTTTAATACTGTAGATTTGTGCACTGAACCTGGATTTTCAGCTCTTAATTTCTCAATTTTAGATTTGAATTCACCGTGAATTGACATAAGTGATCTCTGTCGAGAAGCAAAAGCAACACTGAATTGTTTAATCTCTTCTTCGAGATCTTTCCTTCTTTGTACTTCAGTGTTCAAGTCCTGTAAAATATTTTCCTTTTGATCAGTTAAAAGTGTGAGCTTCTGAGATGATATAGAGATCGTTTTCAGCAATGATTCTCGTTCTTCTTTCAGTAGATGAAACTCTCTTTCCAAGCTACCATATCTCTCCTGAGAATCCTCCAGGAACTTGTTACTGAGATCTAACTCTTTCTCCAACTTTTCATACTTTTCCTTGACAGTGTTGAGTTCATTGCTGAGTTTCTCCTTCCAACTAGCAGTTTCTCCAACCAAAGTGCAGCCCTTCCACATTTAAAAACTAAATCTTAAAACAGGATAGAAAGCAATCTACTCTCTAGTCAGTTTTCTACTAATATGTAGTTCCTTTTTTTTTTTCCAGGGAAGCAGCTAAAAGCATTGCGCATTATACAAAGCAAGACATAAAAGAGTATAATTACACTTATAAGAAGGCACACATGCAGAAAACAAACATTTGAAAGTGCCCCCAATACAAGAGGTCATAGCTTCATCCTGGGGACCCTAAGATGATGCATTTTTTGGTCGAGCCCATTCCTCTGCAATTTTGATTTTGGTTGATGCTAATTGGTTAATCTAAATCAACATAACAACTATTCTCCCAAAGAACACATCACTAGATGCTTGAACATTAACAACAGAAAAGAAAATTCTAACCTAAAAAACACAAGTCCAACACCTGATAAGTATACTTTTATTTACGTTGCTTTTTGTATTAGTATTAGAATTTATTCAATACAGAAAAGGGATACAACTGGCATAGACTCTTAAAGTAGTCCTAAATATTGGTTGTCATGAAGTACAACAAGGATGATGTTTTTTCCTTTTCTTCTTTCCATAGGGAGAAACACAAATTTAAAGGAATTTTGGAGTTCCTTTTTGCTCACTAAACAATATTTGAAACAACCAAAGAAGAGATGGACAGAATATATAGCAAAAAGAGTTCAGAAAATCAGGATCCTGAAGAAGGCAACAAAATATCCTAAAATCATAATGAAGAATAAAATCATAATTGATGAATGGTATCCTGATAACTGTGACCAGGCAGCTACCTCAAAATTGCAGCTGCATAAAGGAGCCTTTGCTTGTTTATCCTCAGTGGCTGTTGTTTCCGATAGAATCAGGGATGTAATTATGCTTTTAAACGTTTCAGAAAGCACTTTGTCGCATTCTTGGATTAGAGAATCATCGGCAGATGAAGATTCGTGACCATCCATTGCCTTTGAAATGTGGGTTTCCAAGGTTGAGAAAAGAGTTGTCCCAATTTCACTTGTGCTACAAAGCAGTTTTGCAGTTGAAGATTTCCCATCAGCAAAACTCTGTCATTGCTCAAAAGGATGGAATGCATGCATGTTAGTGTTTCATTATAAAGTAGAAATAAAAGTTGGAATAGGCAAATATATTGCATTCTTCACCTGCATTTCAGACAAAACGTCCTCATAAATATGTTTGCAAGTAGCCACAGTGCCGCACAATCTTTGAGGCATTTCTCGAACAAGCAATGCTTCTTGTTTAAGTTCAGATATTTCTCCCATTAATCTGTCATTAAGTTGTATTTGTTCTGCATGCTTTCTCTGCAAATGTAACAAATGAAACAGTTACGGCATAGAAATGCACAAGAAAGCATGACCATCGAGAAATCAAATGGTGAAAAATGTCAATTCCCTGAGGTGCAACTTAAACAAGTAGCTATTTACTTAAGCTTCAAATATGTGGTGTATATCAACAAATAACCACCTTGCTTTCTCCCAATTCTGATTATCATAAAATTATGACAATCATGTTTTAATAATGTGGTTCATCATGCAGAAGTATCTAATGATACCAATAAAGAAAGTAAGCATTTGGATAAAGAAAAGAAACTTCTTTCTGAAATGCTAGCTTTATGCAGTTAACCCTCCTCTCCAATCTATGCATTTAAAAGTAAACATAGTTATCAAGAAAAAAAGTGGAATTTAAACCACATACTGACCTGGAGTTCTTTCTTCTCCTCAAGGACAAGTTCTAGCTGTCTCTTGAGATTTTGGACTTCTTGTTTGTAATTCTTACTTAAACAATCCTGACAATGGAACCATATATTAAATTAAATTATGCAGTCTTTATTATGAACAATATCATTTATCACAGAGAAGGGCATTGGTAAAAATACAATAGCAAATAACATATATATAATCCTGATCACAAGATGAAGAAAAAATGACTTTGAATTATCAACTCACAGGAGTAACATCTTGTGGTGGAAAGGATTGAACTTTTCTTGCAGGAGTTGTTAGAAGTGAATCAAGGTCTGCAATATAACCCTTGTTCATTTTGAACCAAGTGTCTTCATCAGCTACATTACTAAAAGAATCTGGAAGAGGACTGAAATCTGGCAACCGTGAATAATTTGATCTCTTGGCAACAAAGGCATTGGGAACCGCTTTAAAACAAGGGGTTTTAAAATCATCTCCTCTATCATTACATTCATCCTTTGGGCTTTCTTTCATGGAACCCTGCCCTCACCAAAAGTAGATCTATTAAATTACCTCAACATAGAGTTAAATGCAAAAAGAATAAGAATAAGAAGAAAAAAAAAGAACAAGAATAATGCATAATGAAAGAATGACTCTCAAATAGCGGCCAAAA